ACTGGAGGGTCAACTATGATTTGATGTCAAATGAGTTATTGATTGTTAGTGCATCGACCGTTAATTACTAAATTCACTATTAAAGAGAAAACAAATAAATGGAATAGGAAGTGAAAAGAATGAAAAGGATACCCAAGCATGAAGCTTGTGGGTGTTAGGGATGAGGTTAGAGGAGGCCTCTGTGAAGGGTACACTCAGCCAGGCTTCTTTTAACCTTTGTCTCCAGGCCAAAGTGCCTGTCTATAAAATGGGCCCATCACAGAACCTCTGACTGAGGGGGCCTCTCACTGCCACTGGCCAAAGCTTCAGCCCCCACAAGGTAGAATATTCTGCCGTCATGTACCCAGCCAACCCTGGAGGTCTGCATTTCCGGCTTCTCAATAGCCCCATAGGATGGGCATCACTGGCTTCTTCTACAGAGGGAAGGCAGAGTCAGAGTGCAGGTTAGAATTCAGACTCCAGGTGTCCTGGCCTGCCTTGTGGAGAGGTGTGCTGTCAGAGATGTGCATATAAAACCCAAAACTAAAGAGTTGGCAGGTCGGCTCCCACTCATGGCATGCCCACGGATGTTGGAGGAGAGCAAAGCTCTGAAAAGTGTCCAAGGGTTGATATTTTTTGGACATTGATCTCCAAGCATTTCTTCCTAGGTGCTTCATGGTGAACTGGCTAATCTTGTGGTTAGCAACCAGCACAGTAGCTGTTTGTTCTTCTCAGGGACTCTAGGCGAGCACAGGGGAGTGCTTCACTGAGCATGTGGATTTATTCACAGGCTGGTGTCTCTGTGGCAGGGGCTTGTGGGTACAACCCGTTTCCAGGTAAAGTATATGAGCAATTGTGCCTACAAATCTACTCTGTAGCTCAGTCTGAGGTGAGGGTGGCAAGGGCAGGGTGAAAGAAAAAAAGAAGGATCCCTATTTTTAGCCACCAACACTACGTACCTGCTTCTCCCCCACCAGGAGCAAATGCACAGATAAACATCCACTCACACCAGCAAAATAATTCCTTAAATAAAGCAGCTACGTTTTGGCATCCCCTGTGCTCAAAATATAAGCTCCCTGGATTTTTAATATCACACTTGGTTTGTGCAATTTTAACCCCAGTGCATCAGCTTTTGTCTTTTGCTGTGAGTCACTGTTTGAGGTGTCAGGATAATGGGAACAGCGTGGCAGACTCGGGGGTGTGTGTGGGGTACTGCTTAGTCCTGGGTGTCTAGCTTTGCCTAGACCTCCCCTCAAAAAGGGACAGTGGTCACAGTGAGGCTTAGCACTGCTGTTGGCCAATTATACTTGAGTCAACCCTAACCATTGGAGACCCCAGTCTGTCAGAGTAGGACTGTTCCACAGAGATTTCAGTGACTGATTCTTCAGAAGTGGATTGCCAGAACTGAACTTTCAACCTTTTATGTATAGCCTAGTGCATGACTTGTTTGTCCCACCCAGAGACTACTGCTCCTGAGCTGGCCTTTGCATGTCCGCTTTTCTCACATGGACTGGCCTCTGTGTGCATGCTCTAGTGAGTGGTGTCCACTCTAGGGGTGTCCTCTTCATGGTGTACAGCTCGACTCCTGGCCCTCACTGACCTGCTCTTGCAGACCTCTGCTGCCCATCACTTACCTGCTGGCCCCTCCTCTCCATGGTCTAACATTCTAGCCATAGTCTGCTCTTTAGATACACAGAGCTCAGGGCCTTTGTGGCTGCTGTTCCCTCTGTGTGAACTATTCCTCCTCCAGATGTCCTTAGTGCTTCTCCCTCATCACTCGGCTCTCCGTCACTTTTTCTGAGAGATCCCTGGAGCCGGGGCATGGTCAGGAGAAAGACTTACCCTTTATGCCCATCTTTCTCAGCCCTCTGCTTGCTTTCCTTTAGAGACTGTGATTATTCCTAGGCTGCTCATCACTTGTTCTCTATCTCACCACAAAGACAGCAACAGGAAGGTGGGAACATTGTGGGACCTCACAGTTGTGTCTTTAAGGCAGCACCGCACCTCACCTTACCTCACCGCACTCGCACAGCACACAGCACGGCACAGCACGGCACAGCACGGCACAGCACGGCACAGCACGGCACAGCACGGCACAGCACGGCACAGCACAGCACAGCACGGCACAGCACGGCACAGCACGGCACAGCACAGCACAAGGTAAGTGCGCAGTTAATGTCATTCAACAGAATGAATCTTCCAACAACTCTCTGCAAGCCTGAACTGTCCTCTTTATTTGACACATGATGAAACTGAGCCCAGAGAGGTTAAATGACTTGCTTAAGGTCACACAGCCAGAATGTGGGCAATCTGGGTTTGGGAATTCAGAGAGTCTACTCTCTTACTCCTCAGAGGCTTCCCGTGGAGGACCACAGGTGACAGAGCAGTCACTCCACCCATAAAGATGGCTATATCTTTTCAGGCAATGGCTCAGACAGACAGCACACCTGAGCCTGCTGCCATAGTAAAGAAGGTGGCTGCTGCGATGAAGGGCCTTGGAATAGAGAAAGTGGTGGTGGGAAGATGGAATCTTTATAGACACTTCCTAGCTAAACCCTCAGAGCGAGGAGCTCACACAGCCAGGCTCTCGTTGTCGGTTGCTCTGATGTCTGCTCTGACTCACTGCAACTCCCTGTGCTACAAAATGAAATGCTGTCTGGTTCCATGCCAGCTCAGCTGTTGTGGCCTCTGTGTCCTCCAACCTACGGAGCTCACCCTCCAACACACTGTCAGACCATATTGTGTTGTAATCTGTGTGTGGGGCAGTTCGTACAGAGTTTCACTGTTATGCCAAAGGCGGCAGCTCTCTGGGGGTTTAAATCTACCAGACGCTTGGATACCCAATGGAGAGACAGTTATGAGTCAGTTTCAACATGATTGCTCTGAGTTGAAAAATTATCAGAAATAGATCACAAAGTCTTTTGTCTTAGTTTGTCTTGTTCTAAAAGTTCTGCTGAAGCCTCTCCACCATGGGCGACATTATTGGTATTCAAAATATGAGTTGATTGGACTCCAGTATCACAGATACAATACAGCTGTCACAGGTCCCTGCACCACCACTCATCTTTCAGTTTGTGGTACTGTTGTGGCTTGCATGTTGCTATGATGCTGGAAGCCAATCTATCAGTGATGATCCATGGTGGAGGTGCTCCAAATGGCTTTCCCCTGAGGTTTTACACTGTAAGCCTTTGTGCATGCCGTTCCTTCTGCTTGAAAGACCCTTCCTGTTCAGTGTGGTGAGCCACAATCCAGATTACTTACTCCATGTAGACAGGACCCTTTGTAGTCTTTTTCTTCCTTCCTTCCTTCCTTCC